ATTCTGGAGCCCAGGAAAATAAAATCTGTCACGGTTTCCACTTTTACCCCTTCTGTTTGATGTGAAGTGATGGGATAGATGCCATGATCTTAGTTTTTTTGAATGTTGTTTTAGACCAGCTTTTCCACTATCCTTTTCCGCCTTCATCAAGAGGCTTTTTAGTTCCTCTTCACTTTTTGCCTTCAGGGTGGTGCCATCTGCATATCTGAGGTTATTGATATTTCTCCCCGCAGACTTGATTCTAGCTTGTGCTTCATCCAGCTCGGCATTTTGCATGATGTACTCTGCATATGTCAGATAAGCAGGGTGACAGTATATAGACAATATACTCCTTTCTCAATTTCAAACCAGTGCATCGTTCCATGTCCAGTTCTAACTGTTGTTTCTTTTTTTTTGTTTTTTTCCTAACTGTTGTTTCTTGACCTACATGCAGGTTTCTCAGAATACAGGTGAGGTGGTCTGGTATTCCCATCTCTTTAAGAATTTTCCACAGTTTGTTGTGATCCACACAGTCAAAGGCTTTAGTGTAGTCAATGAAGCCAATGTAGATGATTTTCTGGAATTCTCTTGCTTTTTCTATTGTCCAGTGGTTGTTGGCAATTAGATGTCTGCCTTTTCTAAACCCCGCTTGTACATCTGGAAGTTCTTGGTTCACGTACTGTTGAAGCCTAGCTTGACGGATTTTGTGCATTACCTTGCTAACATGTGAAATGAGCACAATTATATGGTAGTTTGAACATTTTTGGCATTGCCCTTCTTTGGGATTGGAATGAAAACTGACCTCTTCCAGTCCTTTGGCCACTGCTGAGTTTTCCAAATTTGCTGACAGTATTGAGTCAGCACTTTAACAGCATCATCTTTACCCTGGGCAGATACAATTGTGTCTCTTCCTGTTTTGTTTGCCTGGTACCTGTTGTTACAGTCATCACTTCTGCTGGACTCACTGCTTGAATATTTTAACACTTCTCACCTCAAGATGAGTGTAGGCTGTTCATCTTTTGTGTGAGGAAGGAGCCCCTGGGAGGGTGGGAGGGCGGCGAGCCAGAGTGATTTCCATAGTCGTTAAATTGATGAGAGCTGAATTGGAATCTTGGTTTGAGCCCTGAACTCGCTGTCTGATTTTGGGCGTATTATTTCACTTTCTGAACTCCAGCTTCTTCTATGTAAAATGGAAATGATATTAAAGTTCTCTTTTCCCCATTGAAGGTTAACTTTGGGTAATTTGAATTTGTAGGGATTTTTTTTCCTTGTGAGTTTATTAATGTAGAAATTATAAACTTTCATAGAACAGGTGATATGGTGAAGCTGACTTTGTTAATGATTAATAACTTATTTTATGAAATCTTCTACTGACTTTGGTTTTGAAATCTTGACTGGTGGTAGGATGTTGTGAAATTTTCTTTTTTACTCTTTTGCCATTTTTCTGTTTAGAGGTCTTAGTTTAAAAAAATTGGTTAATGTATGATTATATTTGCTTTGAAAAAAATAAAAACAGAAAAAGACTAAAATCTCTTTTGCTCACCTTCCCCCAGTCCTTTTCTGTCTTCTGCTGTTAATCATTTTTTTTTGTCTCTTTTCTTGATTTTCTTCTGTTTGTATTTATTTGTGTGTTTATAGAATGGGAAGCCCAGTGTTGGGCATGCACACTTTTTTTAAAATCATTCATCACTTTTCACCGACTTCCATGCAGTACACAGAGATCTGCCTTCTTTTTAATTACTAATATGAAGGTGCTTTTTATAGCCATTTCCCAGATCAGTGGGCTTTAGATTTTTTTTCTACCACAATTTGACTTGCTTTTAGTTTCTTACAGTAAAGCGCTTCAAACTTCAAAGCTTTTCGAAGTTTAGTGTTTGTACAGAAATAGGTAAAATACTGAATTATAAGCTGGATTCTTTGCTTTTTATTGTCATATATAAAGTACAATTGTTAAACAGTTGATGGAAACCTTGTTTTAGAAAGCTTTTCTCTTTCCGTTTCAAATGATGTATGATATATATGACTTTTTAAGCTCTACTATAAATGAAAAATTATTTAGCAGATCTTTTTTGCTATAAAAATATGTAACACAAATTTACATTTTAACCATTTTTGAAAATTAATAAACTTTATATCATGGAGCAGTTTTAGGTCTACAGCAGAATTGAGCCAGAAGTACAGAGCCAGAAGGCCACACACGGCCTGTCTCCCCACGTGCCACCTGCAGCCTTGTCCTCGTTGTCACTCAGAGTCCACAGGTTATGTTAGGGTCAGTCTTGGTGTTCTATGTTCTGTGAGGTTAGACGTATGTGTAATGACATACATCCACCATCATAGTGGTCTACAGAACACTTTCACTGCTCTGAAAATCCTCTGCTGTGCCTGTTCATCCCTGCCCCGGCCTTAACCCTTGACAGCCACTCATCTTTTTAATGTGTCTCTAGTTTTGCCTTTTCTCGAACAAAATATAGTAGAGAGCATGAAGTATTGTAGCCTTTTTAGACTGGCTTCTTTCACTTAGTAATATACATTTAAGGTTCCTCCATGTCTTTTCACTCCTTAAGAGCTCATTTCTTTTTAGTGCTGAATAATATCCATTGGTTGTACCACAGTCTATCCATTCTACCTGAAGGACATCTTGGTTGCCTCCAAGTTTGGGCAGTTATGAAAAAGCTGATGCTAACATCTGTATGCAGTCTTTTGTGTAAACATAAGTTTTCAGTTCAATTGAGTAAATAGCATTGAGCATGATTGGTCTCATAGAATGAATTAAGAGGTATTCCTTCTGTTTCTATCTTCTGAAAGAGACTGTAGAGAATTGGTACAGTTTTTTTTTTTTTTTTTTCTATAACTGTTCGGTAGAAATCACCAGTAAACCCGTTTGGACATGATGCTTTCTGTTTTAGAAGGTTATTCATAAGTGATTCAATTTCTTTAATAGATATAGCCCTATTCAAATTGGCTATTCTTATGTGAGTTGTGACAGATTGTATCTGTCAAGGAGTTGGTCCACTTTATCCAGGTTATCAAATCTGTGGCTATGGAGTTGTTCATAATACTCTTTTATTATCCTTTTGCTGCATATGAGATCTGTAGTGATTCCCCTTTCATTTCTAATGTTAGTAATTCTGGTCTTTTTTCCTTAGTCTGGCAAAAGTCTTACTGACTTTATTGATTTTGGGAGGGGGGCGCGGGGATACCCAGCTTTTGGGTTTGTTGATCTCCTCTTCTGATTTCTTGTTTTAAAATTCTTTTCTGCTCTAATTTTTATTATTTCAGTTTCTGTTTAGTTTGTAATTAATTTGCTTTTCTAAGGCGAAAGCTTAGATTATTGATTTTAGATTTTTCTTTTTTGATATGTGCTTTCAATTCTATAAATTTTAATCTAAGCAATGTTTTTCTGCATCCCTCTAATTTTAATAAATTGTATTTTCATTTTGTTCAGATATTTTTAAAGTTTTTCTTGAGAATTTTTTCTTTAATCCATGCATTTTTTAGAAGTATGATTTGTAATCTTCAAGTACTTTGGGTTTTGCCAGCTGTATTTCTGTTACTGACTTGGTTTGATTGCATTGTGGTCTAAAGGCAGACGTGGTATGATTTTTGTTCTTTGTTTGTTAAGGTGTGTTTCATAGAACATGGACTGTCCTGGTGCATATTCCATGTGTATTTAAGCATGTATGATTTTCTGTAGTTGGATGCAGTAGTCCATACATGTCAGCTGTATACAGTTGATTTTGATTGATGGTGCTGTTGAGTTCTGTTATGTCTTCACTGATTTTCTGTCTGATGGATATATCCGTTTCTTATAGAGGAGTAGTAAAGTCGCTAACTGTAAAAGTGAATTCATCTATTTCTCCTTGCAGTTGTATCTATTTTTAGCTTGTGTTTTGGTTGTTAGGAGTTGTTAGGTGCATAGCATTAAGAATTGTCATGTCTTACTAGAGTACTGGCCCCCTTTTCATTTCGGTAAATAACTTTTTGCTCTGAAGTCTTCTCTGTCTGCAATTACTATAACTCCTCCCACTTTGTTTAATTAGTGTTAGTATGGCACAGCTCCATTCCTTTACTGTTAAGAGTGTTGGGTTTCTGTATTAAAGTGGGTTTCTTGTAGACAATATATGGTATACCTGGGGTAGGTTTTTATTTTTCTGTATTTATCTTGCTAGTGTTCCCTGAGATTCCTGATGTGTGGTTTGGTGTCTGATATTAATTTGGGGAGATTCTTGGTCATTATTGCTTCAAATATAGTTTCTATTCCTTTTCCCTTCTTCCAGTATCCCATTACATGTATGTTATACCTTTTATAGTTTCCCACGGTTCTTGGATGTTCTGCACCTCCCCATCCCCATTTTTGTTTTTGTCTTTTCTCGTTGCTTTTCCATTTTGGAAATTTCTGGTGTTACATCTTCAAGCTCAAGAGTTTCTTTCCTCAGCTATGTCCAGTCTACTAACAAGTCTATCATAGACATTGTCCATTTCTGTTAGTGTTTGGTCTGAAGCATTTCTTTGATCCTTTCTTCGAATGTCTGTTTTGATTATTTTTTCTCTATTTGCATGTTGTCTACCTTTTCCATTAAAGCCCTTAGCTTTTCTGTTCTGATAACTTCAGCATGTGTAGCATACATGACTTTTTTTGTGTGTTTTGCTTTTGTTTTGTTTTTTGGTTGGGGGGCACAGCACATGGCATGTGCAATTCTAGTTCTCTGACCAGGGATCGAACCTGCACCCCTGCAGTGGAACTGTGGCGTCCTAACTACTGGACCCCCAGGAAAGTGTCCTATAAGTGACTGATTCTGATGCTTGTTCAGTCTTTTCAAGCTGCTTTTTGCCTTAGTATGCTTTGCAATCTTTCTGAAAGGCAACATGATACGCTGGTAAAAGGAAATGTGAAGAACAGACCTTTGGAGATGTGGTGCAATTGTCTTGGGGAGGGGAATGTTCTGTAGTCCTATGCAGTCTCAGGTTTTTGGTGAGCTGTGAACTTCACCCGTGCTTCTCTGCTTTTTTCCTTTTCTTAGGTGGTACAGGATGGCTAGAGTGGTCTGGAGTTGTGTACTTCTCTTTCCTCATGCAGAAGGTTAGAGGGGCTGGAGTTGGATATTTCCCTTCCTCCAGGTAGGTTAGGTTCCGGTAAAACACAGTGGGTTAGGCTCTGGTAAAATAGTTGTTTTTTCTTTTTTTTTTTAAGGTGAGCTTTGTTAAGGACAGAATGTTCTCATGTCTAAAAAAAAAAAAAAGTTCCTTTCCCCCTCCCAGAAAAATGAAAGAAAGAAAGTGAAGTCGCTCAGTCGTGCCTGACTCTTTGCAACCCCATGGACAGTAGCCTGCACCAGGCTCCTCCGTCCATGGGGTTTTCTTGGCAAGAGTTGAGTGGGTTGCCATTTCCTTCTCCAGAACATGAGGGGAGGGGGAAAAGGTTGCCCACACACCCACTGAAGGACATTTTGGTTGCTTCCAAGTATGGAAGAAGCTGCTGTAAACATCTGTGTGCAGGTTTTTGTTCATGTTTTCAGCTCCTCTGGGTATATACCAAGGAGCATGATTGCTGGATTATATGGTAAGAATGTGTTTAGTTTTGTATGAAACTGCTAAACTGCTTCCCGTTACCTGCACCGTTTTGCACTTTGGTCAGCAATGACAGAGTTCCGGTGGCTCCACACCCTCCCCAGCATTTGGGGGTTAGCCTTGTGGGCTGTGGCCATTCTAATAGGTGTGTAGTGGTGTCACATTGTTTTCATAATAATTTGCATGTTTTTGGTGACATAATGACGTGAATCACATCATTTTTAATGACTGTATCTCATTGGATAGATCAAAGAACCTTGGGGTAGATAAAATCTTTGTTGCTCAAGTTCCCTGTGTTGTGGGTGACCTGGATTGTTTGTCCTGTGGTGGTCCCCACCGTGTCCTATGGCCTCTATATTTGGATGTTTCTTTTTTCCCCCGTTATTAGCTCTTTGGACATTGTTATTATTATTATTTTTTAAATTTATTTGATTGTGCCAGGTCTTAGTTTTGGCATATGGGATCTAGTTCCCTGACCAGGGATTGAACCCAGGCCCCCTGCATTGGGAGCACAGAGTCTTAGCCCCTGGACCGCCAGTGAAGTCCCTGGACATTGTTATATATAAGACTTTTAACTCAGGGTGAACACCTTAGGATGAACTCATTAAAGCAGAGTAATTGGGTCAAGGAATGTATAGATTTTAAAACGCTTTGATATCCATGGCCAGAAAAATTACTCTAGTTTGTACTTTTACCAGCAGTTCCATCCAATTTTATATTGATGTATGTTTAAAGTCTTCTTTACTAAGGAAAAATTTTAACATCCTCAAACATAGAATAGTGTAATGAACACTCAGGTAATCAGCTCCAGCCCCATAAACCCAAGGTCAGCAGTGCCCCGCTTACTCCTTCAGTCCCCACATCTCTCCTGGACTCCATCTGGTTTAAATCTCTGTTGAAGTGTGATAGAAATACAGAAGAGGGTACATCATAAATGGATTTTCACAGTCTGAAACCCGCCTGGGTAACTGGGTCCCAGGCATCCCCTTTGTCCACTTTCAGTCTTACCATCTGCTGAGAACAGCCAGGATCCTGATACTTAACTGTGTTGATTAGTTCTGCTCAATCTCATTCCTTCTGTAAATCTGTGGTATGTTCACATGTGTCTGAGCTTTTCTCTTGACATTGTGTGTGGGATTGTTGGGGGTATACCTGGAGGTGAAATTGCTCAGTTGTAGAGGTGTGCATGTATTCCACTTTGGAAACCTGTGGCTGCATCTGCTAAAGTGGCAGTACCAGGTTACATTCCCCCAGCGGTGTGTGAGGGTCCACTTACTCCATCCTCTCTTGAATGGCTCCTGTCTTTCATCCTTTTCATTTTACCTTCATTGCTAGCTGTGTGGTGATGCCTTACAGTAGCTATAACTTGAGCTAGTGATGTCAAGTACGTTTTCATGCCTTTTTTTGGTCAGTTACTTTATTTTTAAAAATTTTATTCAAGTATAGTTAATCTGTGTGTTAATTTCTGCTATACTGTAAAGCGATTGTTTTATACACATACACATGGACACACACGTCCTTTTTAATTTCATTTTTATTTACTTATTTTTGACTGCACCATGAAGCATGTGGGATCTTAGTTCCATGAACAAGGGTTGAACCCCTGCCCCCTGCAGTGGAAGTATGGAGTCTTAACCACTGAACTGCCAGTGAAATCAAAATACATTCATTCTTTTCCATCGTGGTTTATCACAGCATATTGAATATGTTTCCCTGTGTTCTACAGTAGGACTTTGTTGTTTATCTGTCTTACGTATAATAGTTTGCACTGGCTGATCCCAAACTCAGTCCTTCCCCTGCTGCCCCATAGTCATCCTTTGTAAATGAATGTGCTGTGCCTAGTTGCCCAGTCGTGTCCGACTCTTTGTGGCCCCATGACTGTAGCCTGTCGGGCTACTCTGTCCATGGCAGTTCTGCAGGCGAGAATACTGGAGTGGGTTGCCGTGCTGTCTTCCAGAGGATTTTCCTAACCCAGGGATCGAACCCAGGTCTCTCGCATTGCAGGCGGATTCTTTACCGTCTCAGCCATCAGCTAAGCCCAAGAATACTGGAGTAGGTAGCCTATCCCTTCTCCAGGGGACCTTCCCCACCCAGAAATTGAACCGGGGTCTCCTGCATTGCAGGCAGATTCTTTACCAACTGAGCTACCCTGGAAGCCTTTTTTTTTTTTTTTCCTTTCAGTGAAGAGTGATATTTACATCTCCTCTCTTTTTTCTGTTGCATCATCTGTTTTATCTTGTTAGCTCTCTGTTGATTCATAACAATTACCCCTAAACCTAGTGGCTTATGACAACAGTAAACATTTATTATCTCATAGTTTTTGTGATTTAGGAACTTGGAAGTGGCTGGGGCTGGGCTGTTCGGCTTGGATGTCATCAGCCTTCCAAGTCTTGACGGGAGTTGGAGGATCCTTCCCAAGGTGGCTCCTTTTCATGCCCAGCAAGTTAGCCCTGGCTGTGGTGGGGAGGCCACAGTTCCTTTTCTGCAGGCCTTTGTCCTGATGCCTGTGTCCTGTCCTCGGGACATGGTGACTGACTTCTCCTGAAGGAGAGAGATCTGCGAGAAGTGGTACCAAGTGGAAGCTGTGATGTTTATGACACGACCTTAGAAGTCTTGTGGCATTTAATTTTGCCATATTCTGTTTGTTAGAAGAGAGTCACTTACCTTGTCCCACCTTGGAGAGTGAAATTCCATTTTCTGAAAAGTGTCAAAGAGTTTGTGGACAAATTTTCACACACAACACTTGGTAGGATTTTTTTTATTCTGGATATGAATCTTTCAGGAGATATAAATATGGTGAATATCTCTGCCTACTCTCTGGGTTGTCATTGTGTCTTTTGAGGCAGAAGAGTTAATATTAATGTAATTCAGTTAGTTAATTTTTCCTTTATGGTTAGCCTAAAACTCCACAAAGTAGTTGCTTGTTCCTATCCAGTGCCTAGTCAGAGTTGAAATTGTCAACTGTCTCAAATACAGTAATTTTTATATGTATAGTTTTCTAATATTTTCAAATTGAGATCAAAATAAAGTCTAACAATTAAAACAATTCCCCCTATACCTCTTGCCACCTATTGTGGAAGACCTGGATTTTTTTGTCTTGTGGTATCCTCGCAGAGTTCTGTCTTGTAAGCAGGTAGTTGTGTTTCTGTGTGCGGGCGGTAAACTGGACTGCAGTTTCACTAGCGTTTCTATTTTTGGTTGTGATTGATCTCTGGAGGTTTAGTGTGGCCCAAATTGAAATTTTTAAAGGGCTTCCAACCTGAATCACATGGAAATTCATTCAGATTATAGTCCTGTACTGTCTTGAGATGTGCTCTGTGTGTGTGAGGCCGTCAGGAGTGCATGTTCTCTGTAGGAGACCTCACGCTGACTGGAGTAAGCCTTCCCTTCTGAGGGTGCCACCCTCTCTCTAGTTCAGATGTCATGGGGCATCACATAAGGTGGTCTGACACGTCTTTGGGGGGGTCCACATCCTCACCCCCAGGGGTTTTGTTTTCTTTGTTTTTTCACTTGTTATTGGCATACAGTACTGTATTAATTTCAGGTGTACAGCATAGTGATTGGACATTTAAATACAGTAAGTCCCCCTACACACCAGCCTTCATACTGTGAACTTTCAGAGATTCGGATGCTTGCTTGCGTGTCCGGCCACGTGTCTGGTGTACATTGTCCCGTGCGTGTATCCTCTGCAAGTGGCTGTGCTGTTGAGTACTTCACAGTACTGTGGAGAGGACAGCAGTGCAGTGTTTCAAGCCCAGGATATCTGGAAGCAGGCGTAAAAGCAGTGGTGATGGAGCTGGTACTGCTAAGAAGAGATTTATGACACAGGAAATGGCAAGGAGATTTTCTTTGTGTGAGGAGGTGCTGTGAGCTTTTGAGTCATAGGCCCCGAACATAGAATGGTACCCACGAGTTGCAGCAGCCTTTCAGAATGCAGTCCAGCGCTGCCCTGTCACCTGTGATGAGAAAGGGACTACTGCCCAGACGTCACTGGGTAGTGTTTTCAGGAGGGTAGATAGAACCGGATTCAGGAAGGAGCCAGAACCTGTGCCACCAAGTGCCATCCGCGCCAGGCAGGGGTGACCCTGCAGCTTGCCCCCCTCTCCTTCCTCCAGGCAGTGACGCGTCTGGCCTGTTCCCCGGGGCCAGCTGCCGTACTGTACTGCTGTGCTTTTCAGGGTACTGTGCTGTGAGGTAGAAATATTTTTCATTTTTTGTGTTTGTTTGCTTTTTATGAATTGTTTGTGTGAAAAGGGTATTGCAGTGTAGCACTACATAGCCGATTGTGTTAGTTGGGTATCTGGGCTAACTCTGTTGGGCTTATAAACAAATTGGGCTTACAGACGTGTTCTTGGAACAGAACTCATTTGTATGTGGGGGACTTACTGTACATTATAAGATGATCCCTACTCACCTTTTATTTATTAGACTTTCCGTGTTAATAGCCACCTACTTATTTCTTTTCTTCCTTATACTGTCCACTAGCTTTCCTGCTGTCATGGATGATCTTCTGAGTTGTGGTGACTAATGTTTTAAGGGTTGATGACTCAAAATCTTTTTAGGCCACCTTGGTTTTCCAGTCTTCCCCGTTTCTATCTTTCCTTTCTGATAGAAAACTTAACAATGGAAAATTATAAAAATTAGTGATATAACTAGAATGATTGTTAGAGAAGTAGACAGTATTTCTTAAAATTCATGTGTGTGTAAAGTGTTTTCTTAATAGTTCTAAAATTGATTAGAAGGAGCTAGGTAGGTAAGAGGAGATTGTCACTTTATGTGTGTTGTTTTAATAGTTTAAAAGGATGTATTCGTGTATTTGTATAAATTTAAATAATGTTTTATTGTAAAAATGCAAAATATGAGAAGCAAAGAAGGCCTTTCTCTGATCCCACGTTATGGGTTTAATAACCTTAATAAAAGGGCAGCAGTGAGCCCACAACAGCACTAGCTGGAAGTTGGGACACATGAATCTGGCGGGCTCTGAAGAGCAAGTCTCAGTAAATATTTGTTGAATTAAACAATGAAAAAAGTAAAGTTGTTTTTCTAATAAAAATTTTACTTTAAAGTGTGGTTCAACTTCAGGTAAGAGGTAAAAATTCCCGTGTTTCAATTTTAAATACGTGTGTGTAAAGGATGGTGCCTGTTGGCCATAGTGCCTCCAGCAGATACCCGGGTGCCCGCCGATGCCAGGCCTGTGCTTGCTACACTTTGGTCCCGTGTGACTGAGGTGATGGCGTGCTGCTGCCCTCAGTGAGCCAGGACAGTGTCTCAGATACAGAGCAAGCTGCATATGTAACCATAAGTTTTCTAATGGCCTCATGAAACGGAAACAGGTAATGTTAATTTTAATGTATTTTAACCCAATAATCCAAAATATTATCATTTCAGCATGTCATACAAAATTTTTAATGAGATATTTTCATTTGTCTTTTTTGTACTCAGTCTTTGAAGTCAGCTGTATTTTATACATGAACACTTCTCAGTTTGAACTAGCCGTGTTTCATGTGCTCCAAAGCCTGGCACGGCTACCGCAGTAGACCCCATAGATCAGATTATCATCAGTGTCGTCATTGCTCACGTGAAGTGGCAGGGGACGTGGACTAGGAACCGAGGTAAACGGCGGCTTAAAGGGGCAGAGGAGTCAAAGGGGAATCAGTTAGGAAGCTGTTTCTGTCCTCTGGGTGGTGGGCAGAGAGGCTGGAGGAAGGGGAGGTGCTCAGAAGATGGAGTTGACACGATTTTGGTGAATTGGATGTTGAGAGAAAAAAGGAGTCTACCCCAGCTGGGGTGTGCCTTTTCTGGGATGGGGCGGACGTGGTGAGAAAGGGTTTGTTAGGTGATTGGTGTGTGATAGAGAGCAAAAGCCTGTTTAGGAGAGATTAAATTTAATATGCTTGCAAGACATCCAGGGGCAAACGGGTGCCTGTGTTTGAGGTGCAGAGGTGGCCTTAATCAGTTTTATAAATTTGACTCTCATCTGTGCTTATAGAGTTATATTTAAAAACCTGTGGAAATGGCTTCATTTATTCAACAAAACCCTTTTAAAAAGATTCTCCCCAAGTCTTGTTTGAGTTGCTGCAGCGATAGTGTGAATAGAACAAGTGGAAACTGACACCTGACCACTGTTGTCAGCCTAGGAGAGTGTACCTAGGTAGTGTCCAGTCTGAACCCGGTGGGAACCTCTGCCTTAGAGGAGACCGAGAGGTGGCCAGCGAGAAAACAAGGAGGATGTGACCTCAAAGAAGCCGAGGAGAGAGACTGCGTCAGTCGGGGGGTCTAGCCGTGAAGTGTGCTGACTGCTCCGAGCGCGAAGTTGAGACGAGGACAGAGGGTTTCCCTTAGACTTAGCCCCATCTGGAGGTCACTGGTGACTTGAAGAGGCAGTTTCAGTTGAGTGGTACAGATAGACACCAGATTGGACCGAGTGGAAGAGGGAATGCTCTGTGACAGAGGGCTCCTTTTCTTTTAAAGAACCACTGCAGATCATTGAGAAGACAAGCCCAGTGGAAAAACAAACCAAGGATATAAACAGACAGTTGGAGAAAAGTGAAGTATAAATGGCTCTTAGACAAAAACAGTGCTCCCAAGAGAAGACTTTGCTGGGCATGGGTGTGAAGAACCAGGCGGGGCTGGTGGGAGTAGCCGTGACCTCCGGGGAGAGCCCTGAGGCTGTGTGTGCCTAATCAGAAATGGGCCTTGTTCAATCCAGCAGTTCCACTTTTGGGAACTGGCATTTTTTGATAATAGTAAAAATTGAAAACTAAATAGTCATCAGTGGCACCCTGGTTAAATCACCTGTAATGTAAAGGAAAGTCAGTATCAGATAAAACATTTGTTTTTGTTTTTTTCTACCATGCTGTAAATGAGGTACTTTGACAGTGAACCCGTCCCTCGCACCATTTTATAAGATTGAGAAAAATACCAGTTGGTCTGTTATTGGCACAGAAGATATTTGAAAATACACCTTTGGAGAGCAGTGTTAAACCTGTCGTTCTCTCTTGATCTGCCTTTTAACACACATCACATAAATTATTAGTCACTATTCTCTTCTCCAGTTTCCTGTTAGGATTTTTTTGTCCTGTTTTTTATATGTTCTGAGCTATAGACCACAGGAAAGATGGATATAACTTAAAGGTTCATGGATGAATTCACTCCCGTTTTCCTTATTTCATCTAAAAATAGTCACAACTCCTTTCATGAGAGGATCGTTTTACTTGGTTTGGATCATTGACAGGGTAGGCAGACGTCTGGCGCTGTCCGCGAAGCCTGCGTGACCCCACTGCCGCCCGCCTGCTGGAGGAGGAAGACCTTGGTGTGCTCTGAGGGAGAGCGACAGCGCCGCCTCTGGGTGCGGCGTTCTCGCGCCTCCTGCAGTAACCTGGTTTTCCTGATCTCCCTGCTTTGGAGAAGGCAGCATGGCCCATACGGACTTTTAAGCAAAAATGAGCAACTGGGCACCCCTGAATAGACCACGCTGGTCTCCCAGCAGAAGACACTGACACTGTGACTTTAAATTCTCTCTCATCGAGACTGTCTACTTTAAGATCTTGTTTAAATTTAGTCTCTTGAGTGTGAGACTGTGGTTATTCATTAATTCCTTTTTCTTCATTTCTTGGAGTATCTTGGTTTCACTTATGCTCTTCACAGAGCCACAGAACAGTACCAGTTCAGGAGTGGAAGCATCTTCAGTCTGATCCTCTCAGCTTACAGTTAGGAAACAAGCTTGAAAAGGTGAGGTTACTGTCCAAAGGTAGACTGAACCGAATTGGTGTTCTCCTGGTCTTCACGGTTAAGTTGCGTGAAGTGAGGGGTAGTATGATATCCTTGTATGATCAGAGTGAGGTAATCTGCCAGAAGTTTGAGGGGGAAGTATGGCTTTAATTACTTCACAACAGTTTTAAGGAAGGCATTAGAACTCATTTACCTGCTGCCCTAATTTATTTTTAGTCACAGAGACAGTCGGGACCCTCTTTACATATTTTGATTGAGAAAACTGAAGCCTATAGATGTTAACTTAACCCAAGATTATAGACAATAAATGTTTTATTCTATGCTTCATATCTAATGTGAGCTGTAACAGTACTATTTTACTGAATAGTATACTTTGTCTGGCCCCAGTGGGGCTATTTAAATTAAAATTGAGAATTCAGTTCCTTAGTCTTAACTACGTGTATTGCAGGTACTCATGACTGTGTGTGGCAAGTGGCTTATTGTATTGGACAGTGTAGGTATAGAGTATTTACTTTAAAAATTTTTATTTATTTTTTACAACTTTAGAAATGTTGGTGATGGACACCAAGAATTATGAACATGATGAGAATTGCCAGTTAGGAATTGGATTTGTGTTTAAAAGCAGGAGCTTGTGGCAGTGCTTGTGGTTGTGACTTGGGTCTTTTCTCCATTCCTATTTCATCTACTCTTTTTTGTTTGTTTGTTTTTTGTTTTTTTCCATTTATTTTTATTAGTTGGAGGCTAATTACTTTACATCATTGCAGTGGTTTTTGTCATACATTGAAATGAATTAGCCATGGATTTACATGTATTCCCCATCCCGGTCCCCCCTCATCTACTCTTTAGGACAGTAACCAGGAGCCTATTTGAAGGACTTTTCCTTTTTCATGTCTTAGATATCTTGGTTAGCTAGTTGAAAATCCCATTCTTGGGTTGAGTTCTCAGTGAATATATTCATTCACCTTCATGTTGCTTAGCATGTTTTCCAGTCTCTGTACTTGGGTTTCACATATTAATCGCTTGGTTACCAAGATGTCCAGCAACAAGTTGATGTCTTTCTTGTTCTTGTACTGTGGATTATGGGAGTTTCAGCTCTTACATCAAATTAAGCTTGATGTGTAACTGTGAGTGAGCCAGCTAAGTGTAGCTTTGGCGATTGGAACCCTGTCGTCTTTTGTACCATTGCTCTGCCTCTCTGCACACTGACATTGTAACAGGCAGAGTTGGTTTTCTGGGCTTTACTTTGGATGCTAATTTACTAATTTAGGATTTGGCTCCATTTTAATAGCAACTTGGGTTGGATTGACTTTATGCACGATGGCAGTGATTTGAGTGTCCATTAGGGTGCATAGCCAGACGATGATGTAATCCGATTAGGGGCCAAAGTTTTTACTTAAAATACTTTACATACATGATTTTGCTTTTGAAAGTGGTGGTAGTATGGATTTACCTTGGGTGTTTTATACTTTAAAAAGTAGTCTTTTTGTATTCTTGGTACAGATATTTTTGATTACTGCTTTCAGAGTCTGTATTTTTGCCACAGCTTGTATGAAATTGGTATTTCTGAAATTAGCTGATAGTTATATATGTGTGTGTACATATAATACATATACACAATTATTGTATATATAATATATACTATGTATATATATATAAAGATGCCTCAAGTTATCAAATGATGTTCCTTATTTAGGTTTCTCTGAATTACGAGTGTTTGTGTGCTCATTTTTGATGATTTTTGTGGTCAGAATATGGGGGGGTTTAATTTATTTTCTGTGTGTTAGTCATTGATAAAATGTTGAACAAAATTTTATGGATTGTCTTCCCATCTCACTATCTTGCATCTTTTTAGACTTGGGTATTTGGGGAACATGTGTGAGCATGCTTGCAGAAAAAAGATTATTAAAATCCACATGGAAACTATTGAGTTGGCCTCTCAGGACTTGCTAGTAACAGTAGTTACTTACTTCTGTATGTCCAGCCTCTAGGCTGTTTCACCTGTTTGTAACTGAGAGGTTGTTTTTAGTTGTTTGTGTATGATATGTGATACAAGGAGAAAATATTTTCTTGCCTATTATGTAATAGCTGTAGTTTCCTCTTGTGAATTTGCATCTGTGAGGAATATCAGGGAATTTATATTAAAAATTCATGTAAAAGTATAGAGAGAGGTTATTATTCCTTTTTTCCCCCAGAGTGAATTAAAATAATAATTTCAGTGTTCTTTTGGAGTAAGTCCTTTCTTGTTATTCACAACTACAGGATAGGAATAATACCTAAGAGGATTGAGAAGCACGTGTATAATGCTGGCACAAAGAGTTTGTAAGGGTAGATGTTCACTCTTGCTATTCTCGAGTTCTGTGACTAAGCAAGTACATATTTAGTTACTCTTTAGTTGAGAATCTGTTCCTTTGCTGTTTTAGGCTAAACCCAGCCCTCATTCTTGACTGATATTTTTATAATTATGTTCTTACATTCTCTTCATTGGCCTTGATCAGACTGATTGGTGTTGGAAAGAGGAGACCCTTTCTGATAGGGTTATGTTTGTAGGTTATGATAGGGTCATTTCTTTAAAGAATGATTGGCAAGAATAAATATGAAAGTAAAAGTATATTATCTTAAAAAAAATCTTGTTTTCCCTTTTTTGAGGGTGCTCCTCTGGATCCGTTTCCTCTGAGAGAATAATCTAAAGCTATCAGTTGTTATAGCTTGAATGTTTGTGTCCCACTCCAGGATTCATATGTTGAAACCTAATCCTCAGTGTGATGGTTTAGGGGAGTGAGGCCTTGGGGTGATGAGGTCATGAGAGTGGCACTTTAATGAATGGGATTGGTAATCCCAGAGGGTTCCTGGGTTCCTCACCGGTTCCTGCTGTGTGAGGACC